GAGTCTCAAGATAACGAGGCCATTTTAGAACTTGTCTGAGGTTAATGATGCGAACAGTGAAATAAAAACAAAAAACATTATTAAAACAACGAAATAACAGAATCAGAAACAAGCATAAATATTCATAAGGAATTAAGTTTCCTAAGAGAAAGTTCAATAAGAAGCTGTATTGTAATTTACCTGCCAACGAAATTTCTAATAATCACAATTGGAATGGTGATTTTTGTGTCTGATTCGTTGCTAAATCTAAGATGGAGGCGGTTCGCCCATTGCGTCAAATTTTGCTGGCGGCATTGAGGTGAACAAATATCATCCAGTAGCATGTAAAAATTGCTGTGCCATTTTCCCTTCTCATTCCACTTGTGCCATTTTTCCATATCATTCAAATTGTGCCATATTTATCTTTCATTCTACTCGTGATATTTTTCTTCCCATTCCACTTGTGCCATTTTTCCTATCATTCAATTTATCCCATTTTTACCTCTCACTCCACTTGTGTAACTTTTTCCACTCATTCTATTGTGCCATTTTACCCTCTAATTCAACTTGTGCCATTTTTATTTCTCATTCCATTGTGCTGTTTTCTCCTCTTCACTTATAATTGTTACCTCTAACTTCACTTGTGCCATTTTCTACTCATTCCAATTGTGTCATTTTTACCTGTCATTCCACTTGACAGGAAGTTGTGAGAGGTAACAAAAAAGACAATGTTAAGAGCTAGAAAAAAATAGGAAGTTGTGGTGAGTCATAATCCTCAAAGTCTATAGAAGAAGAATACGCAGGATATTTTCTTTGAGAAAAAACTGTTACCGTTAAGATATTTTTTCATAGTACCTATGTTGATGTTGTTAATGTAATAACATTTTATTCTGAATATGATTATTCGCTTCTAATCCTAAACAGGAATCAAGGGATAAAGCTCAACCCCTTTTCAAAAGAGCGAGGAGAAGTGTGAACCGGACGATAGGTAAAACTATCTACTTCCATTATTCCATTTCAATATTTTAGTCAATTATGTTTATTCCATTTAGTTAACTGTTTTATTCAAGTTGTTTACCCATAGGGCTGTGTGCCTGGTAAACGTGTAACAAAAAGGTAACGAACTGTGACAAATTCAGAACCGCATATGCGTTTTTCCAGAGAAAAGCTTTCTTTGACCTCCCCACCTGTTCACTGCCACTGGGTTTATATGCTTTCAAAGACAGGCACTATAATTCGAAGGGAGTACATGCCGGCTATTCCATCAATCGTTTTCTGTTATACAGAATGAAATGAGTTTGTCCTGGTTTCCTTTGTATCATTGAGATCAGTACATTTCTTCTGCACAAAACGGTAATCAAACACTTTTTCTGTCTTACTCAATGATTCAACAAAAGCTCTACTCGATTATTCACATTAACTGGATGGATTATGTCTCCAAGTTGATAGTCTTTGAGAAAGTTCGAACCATCAGCATCGAAGTTAAGTTTTCTTTTAATATATATTTAAACAAGTTTTTTATATATATATATATATATATATATATATATATATATATATATATATATATATAAGCATTTCACTCCCAAGCAAGGCTGGAAGCCACTAGCACGCAAGGGGTTACATAGGATTTGAAGCGAGAGCAGATAGGGTGTGATAGAGGAAAGGATGAAGAGAAGGATAAGGGATAGATCAAGGCAACTGGAGATGTTTATATACATTACATTTGAATAGTTGGAGGTTATAGCTATCAGGGAAACTAGAATAGGGAAGGGAGTTCCACAGGCGAGAGGTGCGAGATATGAAGCTATTAGAGTAGAAGAGACGGCTTCATTTAGGAGTTTCAACAGTGAAAGGGTGAGAGCGGGATGCCAGTCTTGTAGGGCGCTTGAATTCATGAAGGCTGGGAACCAGCGAAAGCAGCGTGGAGAAAAAATTCCTGGCGCGGCACAGGGAGCCAAATTTCCTTGCGATGGACGAAGCAATTGACTCAATGTATTTGTTCCATTTTAGGTCAGCAGACAATGTGAGACCGAGCAGCCGCAGAGAGGTGCTCTCGAGAAGTTGAGCGTCAGACATTCTAATATGGGGGGGAAGGAAGGATCTTTGTGGTGATTAATAGAGAACAGTTTTGTTTTTGAGGCGTTAAAGTTAACCAGCCAATTCTTACCCCAGTTCACAACCGATTGGAAGTCCTTTTTGAGATGAACGGTCAGGTTAGTTTTGTCAGCGACTCTAGATTTGTTTTTGAGGCAGGAGTAAATTGTAGTGTCGTTCGCGTAGATGCCTACTTGGGAATTTATGATGTCAGGAAGATCGTTGATGAAGATGAGGAACAGAGTAGGGCCTAGGATGGAGCCTTGGGGAACACCTGCGTTCGTGGGATAGGAGCTGGAGGAGAATCCATTGAGAACGACCTTCAATTGATGGTTTGACAGGAATGATTGTATTAAATCAAACAATCGACCTTGTCTATACTGAGGGCCTTGTCTATACTGTCAGAAATACTATAACCCTGGAGCTTTCAAAGAAGGCCGGCATGCCAAACCCTATCAAACGCTCTGCAGATATCTACAGCCACGGCACGAGCTTCGTTATTTTGAAGAGCTTGGTAGACAGTTTCAGTGATGGCCGTAAGCACATCAGCTGTCGATCGGGCAAAGCGAAAACCATATTGCCTGTCTAAGAGCAGATCATGGGATGTAATGTGGTTAACCACTTCGGTGTTGATTAAAGCTTCGAAGACTTTGACGAAGAAGGGTAGAAGACTGATAGGACGGTAATTAGAAGGGTCAGAGGGGTTGCCAGAGTTCTTAAAGACAGGAACAATCGATGAGGTCTTACAGAAGTCTGGAAAACAAGATTCCCTGAGGTAGTAGTTATATAGTTTAGAGAGGGCAGGCGCCAGTTCAGGTGCACATTTCTTCAAGACAATGGCTGGTATCCCGCCTCCACTACTAGCCTTGTGGGTGGGGGTCTAAATTAGAGATAATGCCCAATACTAATGACGGGGTTATTTTCAACCCACTCAATAGGGCCTCAGTTCTAAGACGGAAATCGGGTATGGGTACACCGGAAGAGTCGAGCGTTGAATTGTATGAAAATTTTCGAACAAAGCATTCGACCATGTCAGCAGAGGAGGTCAGGACCACAAACTGGTTGAACAAAGGAGGTATAGAGGGTTTGCTATTTTTGAGTACGCTCTTGCAGAGACGCCAATAATCCTTGGAGCCGAATTTGCAAGATGAAATACGTTCCTTCATTCGAGCAGCAGATAGGGATTTCGCTTCGTTGAGGACACGCTTACACTCGTTACGGGCAGAGACAAAGAGACGCCTATTGCACTCGGACATGTCGCTACGATATAGGTGAAAGAAGTGGTTCCTATGGGAAATGGCGGCTGAGCAAGCAGTGGAGAACCAAGGGGAGGAGCGCGATCTGACCTTATATTTCATTGAGGAGATGAAAGCGTCGATTCCAGCTTTAACCCAGAAGGAGACCTCGGAAGAATATTCTTGAACGGGGAGCGTAAAGACAACATCCCAGGGAACATCGCGGAACCAGTCTCAGTCAGCTCGTTGATAGCAGAACGAGGTTCTAGTGGTAGGAGGTTCTTTGCAAGGGGTGAAGTTGAAGGAGATGTTGACAGACACTACAGCATGATCGGAGTTACCAAGAGGGCAGAGCTGCGTGGCGCTGCAAGACTCGGGGATGGAGGTAAGACATAGATCGAGAAGAAAGGCCATACCGTCCCGGTTGTAGGCAAAACGCGTGGGGACGTCAACTATCTGCGTGAGGGATTGAGAAACTGAAAAATTAAGTATTTGAATGCCTGCAAGGTCAGTAGTAGAATTCTTAAGCCAGTTGGTATGATGGGCGTTAAAATCGCCAAACACTAATATGTGAGCAAACGGATGGAGAGAGAGGGCCTTGTCTATACTGTCAGAAATGCTATCGATTATTTCGCAGTCTTGAGAGGATGGAGAGCGATAAAGGAAGAAGAGATAGCTATACCTCCTATATTTTAAAAGTTGACAAAAAGGCAAAGGTAACTGCTATTAAAAAAATTATTTCACTGTTGTTTAAAGAAAGGGTTACAGTTTTAATTCATTTCGTTTTAAAAAATACCATCCTCCAAATAGAGGCCTCTGTCCACCATAGACTGTTGTTGACGATTTCTAAAGTTTTTATCACCCGGAAGTTCGAGCGTTTCAATGTTTTCCAGGTCGCTTTCTTTTAGCAGTGAAACTGTGACCCTAAAATTTTCAACCCATAGCAGTATAGATTATCGATCTAGAGCACCATCATTCTGACGTAAGATGAAATAATTATGAAAAGCTCCCCATGTCGCAATTGACAGATTCACTAGTCTTAATTAAACGTTCTAACAGCATAATAACGATGTGTACCGGTCCAAGCCATGGTGGTAACTAATGATATCTAAAAAAAATGGTAAGAGATTAGCTAAATGAAGACACCGTTACCATCTCATTAGTACCACACAGGCGACAGTTTAAAGTGATTGAGGTATTTCCGTCGCACACTGTTATGGTTGAACAAAAGGGACGATTCTTACGAGGATATTTTGGTACCTTTTGACTTCTTTGAAATGATTCTCTTATGAGGTGTAAGTAAAAATAAATATACATTTTCTAAAGAAGGCTAGTATCTTTAGCAAGGCTGTGTTAAAAGTTCTTTGTTCTGTTGAAAAACACTTTGGAAAAGTTTCTAAATGAATTCGGTATTCATAGGAGGGTAAATAATTTTGTCCTCCACTACACATCATGCTATGACTGAGCAGAAATTGAGAAATCTCAGAGAGACTATTACTATTCCTGATACCAAAGGAAAAAAAGCTGCACTTTGGTCATACGCCAGAACGCGAATGAGGACAATATTCGTTTGAGGTCTCCTTTTTTTTCTGAATTTAATTAACGAATGGCTGGCATATTCCCCTGTAGCACTAAGTTTTTGTTTTCAAATGATCAGTCACGATTACACTTTCCACAAATTTCTTGGCTTACAGCCACATCATGATGAAACAGCGGTTCCTGTACAATCACCGAAGTTAAGCAACGTCAAGCCTGGTCAGTACCTAGACGGTTGACCATTTGAGAATACCAGGTGTTGTAAGAATACCATGCTATAACTTTGCATGTGCGGATGGCATAATGTGCTTATGGCCACATCAGGATAAAACATTGGTTCCTGTACGATCACCGAAGTTAAGCAACGTGGATCCTGGTCAACCAAGGTAGGTGACCGCTTGCGAATACCAATTGCTATGACCTTGCATGTGCGGATGGCATAATCTGCTTTTGGCCACATCATGATAAAACACTGGTTGTACAATCACCGAAGTTAAGCAACCTGTGTCCCGGTCAGTACCTAGATGGGTGACCGCTTGGTGCCGTAAGCTTGCATGTACGTGTAGTATAATGGATAATGGCTCGGAATTGTTAATCGGAGATTCATGTTCCAATTTTTGTTGGGTTCGTTATATTCGCCTACGCGCAAATACTCTTAGGAAAGGCATGAATCCACTCTTCCCCCACTATGGGTTAATTAGTAAGACTTGTAACAACGATTATTATCGCCCCAAAATAATTCTTAAAATCTAAAAAAAAATATTTCCTGGCTTTAAATAACCTTAATGGGTTGATAAGCTGTAGAAAACGAAACAATCAATCAATGAAATACTGATTAGCTTCACAGGCATGTCTTTTAGATTTATTTATATTCTTTGGAATAGAAATGTATAGAAACTACTATGGCCACAAAGTGAGGGATCAGTTTATATATCATAATAAACCATCTCTTAGTTGGTGATGTTCCCATGTCCACTCTGACCCAGGGTGGTAGCACCTCTCAGGGTCCCAGCTATGGGCAAATAGTTAACCTCCATAAGGGGTGAAAACACCATGAAAGTATAAAAATGGTTTTTAATACCAGCAATACATTTTTTTTTAATATTACCATCAATACATTTTTGAAAAAAAATCACCTGCAATAAAAATCTTGTCGGCATTAAATAACCCATTGAGGTTGATATACCGTAAACCAAATCAAACCAAACCGATCATTCTCAAGCGAACTCTTCTTTCCAACTATTTCTATCATCCATAGTTCCATCTAGCTCATCCTTACTCATTCCAGATTCTTCTATGAGCTTTTTTTTAAAAACATTTCACTCCAAATAAGGTGATAATGCCACTAAGACGCAAGGAGTTACTGGGAGTAAAAAAGAAAGAAGTCTTTAGACGAAGGGACTGACAACCCAATCCTAAACAGAAAACACGGGATAAACCTGTACTCCTGTTCAAAAGACAGGGAAGGAGGGTGAACCGGGCGATTTGATCGATAAATGTTCGAACTAGTTTGCTTCTTGATCTTTTCTCATAGTATAAACTGATACGCAAGTTCTTGTTTACTTCTCCAGCAATGGCCACTGTATAACATGGGTTTACCTGTATAACTGTGGAAAAAAATTGCTCAAGACCCCACGGTGTTTCCTTTTTGGAGACACTTCAGGTGCCGCTAATGACCCCAGTTCGTTCCTGAAGGAGAGGTACTACCTGGAAGAATGCTTTCCCCGCTGGGGATTGAGCTAATATTATTATATTAAAGGTTGTGTATTTTTCAGCGTGCCCAACGTCGCTACCGAATGTGAAACAAGGTCGGGGTTTAATATGGGTTTACCGGCAATACAGTTGAAAAATTGCACAAGACACCTCGGCAAGTCCCATTTTGGGGACGTTGAGTATTGAACCCAGGCTCTTCCCGAAAGAGAGGTATTCCCTGTAGGTATGACCCTCTGGGGCTTGAGCTAATATTTTCTCTTTTCTCAATGGTTGAAAGTTTGAGAAGCGTTTCAGTTTGTATTTACTTGAACGAGTCAGGTTGTGACACAAAGTCGGTTTTTAACGTGGGGACTCGAGTGTCTTCATTCGGACCTCTGGTCTTAGCTTGTTCAAGCTGGTCATAGCTGGTCTAAGCTAGTCATAGCTAGTCTTAGCTGGTCATAGCTAGCAGAGCCGGTCCAGTTATAGCCGTGATACTACCAACACAGGGGCGGATCCCTGTGTTCAGTAAGTATCCATGTGTATAAACTACTCGAGAGTAGTTTGTATTTAATCAGCCCCCACCACGAGGTCAGGTTGTGACACAAGGTCGGTTTAATGTGGGGAGCCCAGCGCGTACACCCGGGCTAGGAACAAAATTCCCGAACGCCTGGTGTGTGCACCAATACCTCTCTCTAGTGCAATGACAGGGCGCGGCCTCGGGCAGCTGTTCAGTATAATTTTCCTCAGTTGCGACTCTGTCCCTTGACGGAGTCGCCCCCGAGTGCCCTCTGCCCAAAGACAGAGACGCAACTAAGAGATGATAAATAGATGTGTTACAAACTACTCGAGAGTAGTTTACGAACAGTTCCGTATTTCGCTTCGTACTGAACGACTAGAAACACTTCCGTGGAGAATACATGTTGAACACCGAGAGCGTTTGTGTAAAAAAAAAAAATAGAATAAATAAAATAATGAGATAAGCAAATTGATTTTTTAGACAGCAATACGCCCCCAGTTTGTATCTAGAAATATTTACTAAGCTGTTTAATAGTTACTTTATTGGCACAAGTTTAAAAAAAATGCCCAAATATTCCATTTGTGCCTGATGTAAGACTTCCGCTTCCGCCATTTTGGCTTTTGAAATTTTTTGCATTTTACATGAATAAAGGCCATACTTTCCTAATAGCTTTTATGTTCCCAGGAGATTTTATGGCGTAAAAATGTGATAAAATATTTGACCTGTTTGTAATGCAAATGGGAGTTCAAATGGCTAGGGAAGAAGAAGTAAAATTACGAATGTTTTTTGATGGTTTGAATTTAGTTTCTGTCCATTAAGTGTAGAAACATTTTCCTTTGAAACATCTTATTAATTGTTCTTTACATGCAGCGGAAAACATTTCGAAAACTATTTGGGGTTAACACTCTATAATGCGTTGCTATTATTTCTCGCTTGATTATTTATACATTAAGATTCACCCTGTACAAGGCTCGGGTTCCACTTAGGGTAGAAAGTTACATAACAATGGGCACCATTTATACCGATATGTGGGGAAGATAAAGGTTAACCCTAGACTTGAAAAGGTTAAGATTGCAGTGATGGGGAAAATATTCTCTTGCGAGTCGGTTTGGTTTACTTTATTTTGTTTTACTAAGAAGTTTACTTTTAGGAAAATGTTTATCAATCAGTTAGAGTAACTTATGTCCTGACTTAGTACTGACTAATTGATTAAATGGGGTTGTATACCAAATGATCTTCCTATTTCTGTTTCTTTTCTTTGGACCACTATCATCATATATTCTAAACATTATATAACCACTATTCTTCTTATTATAAACACCATTATTATAACCACTATTATTATAACCACCATTATTATAGCCACCATTATTATAACCACTATTATTATAACCACCATTATTATAGCCACCATTATTTTAACCACTATTATTATAACCACTATTATTATAACCACTATTATTATAAGTACTATTATTATAACCACCATTATTATAACCACCATTATTATAACCACCATTATTGTAACCACCATTATTATAACCACCATTATTATAGGCACCATTATTATAACCACTATTATTATAACCACCATTATTATAGCCACCATTATTTTAAACACTATTAAAACCATGCCCCATTAATTATAGCCATCATTATTATAACGAGAGTTCGTGGTGTTGTTTTGAATTATAACATAAACACACCACCGTAATATTTATCAAATCAGACTTAAGCTTTGTCCGATGAATATGTTCGAAGAAAACGGACTCTGTGAAAAGTATGGAAAGATCAAATGAATAAAAATATAAATAAATGTACAGTGGTTTAATGTTCACATACAAACATATATAATAATTGGTGTAAGAAAAACAGCATTTCAGTGTTAAATAACAGAACCAAATTGCAGCAAAAGTATATATTAATTAAAACTTAGTACCTCCTGGCCAATATCGACTGTGCAAATAAACACGGGTTTCATGCGAGCCTCATGTAATCTTCAGGCTTTATCGACCAATTGTTTTTTTTTGGCAAATATTAATATTAATGGGCCTCGCGAGTTCTGTGGTGTTGTTTGAAACAATGAATCTAATCTAATGTTCTATATAAATATTTAATTGCACACTGGTAATCTGGAAAATTTTGAACTTAAATTTAGGCATTCCAGACTTAAAATTGAAAAAAATAAAAATTAGAAAAAAATTCTAATGTTCGTTTTAAAAAATCAAAATTTACGGACTCTGTGAAATGAATAATTGAAAAATAAAAAAGGAAATTGTACTCTTTTTTTTTGCACACCTAAGAGAAAAATCAACTTCATGATAAAAAAAAAAAAAAAAAAATATTTAACATGTGGTAACAACACACCAAAATAATAATAATAATAATAATAATAATAATAATAATAATAATAATAATGACAGTGGCTGCGTAGTGCAGGGTTAAAAGCTAAACCCGAAGGTTTTATCCTTGCTGGACCGGACCAATGCTTGTTAACTAAAGATTATCAAGCACACATACTAAAATATTGTGTTAATCCAAAATGCAGATTATGTGATAAATATCCAGAAACAATTGATCACCTTGTATCAAGTTGCACGATATTGGCACCCACTGAATATAAAACCCATCAAGACAGAATGGGATAGTATCTGCAATGGAAAATCTGCAACTTCTGCAGGAAGGAAACTGAAAGAAATTGGCATGAACACCACCCAGACCCGGTTACGAAAATAGGACCTGTTACAATTCTATGGGACTACATAATACACACTGACAGAACAATCAAAGCCAACCGCCCAGATATTGTTATTAAAGACCACAAACAAAAACGGTGCCTCCTTGTTGATATGGCAGTCCCTGCTGACTGCAATGTATCTTTGAAGATATTCAAAAAGCTGTCAAAATACAAGGACCTTGAAATAGAAATCTCGAAAATGTGGCACGTGGGAACATCAACAATCCCTGTTGTAGTTGGAGCCCTAGGGCTGGTTGGAAAAGATTGCAGTAGACTAATTGAAGGGATTCCTGGAAGTCCATGCCTCAAGGAGATA